ATCATACAGTCACTATCTGTAGACCATATCTCTCATTAGAAGACAAATGAAGATTGGTATTAGGTTTCTGAAGAACTGGTTACAATGCATCTAATATATTAATTGTGGGGAAAATTCACAGGCCGGAGCTGTGGAGTCCTAGTGGGTTTCCACACTGCGGCAGGTCCCACATGCAGGAGGACTGTCTATGGTTCCAGTGGCCTGGAGGCTTTGGCAGCGGTAGGCCCCAATAACACAAGGAAGTCCTTGGTTCCAAAAGGGTTTATTGTCATGGCAGACTGTGGATGAATCTGGAAATATGCCTCCTAAAACTCAGGGCAGTCCCGAGTTATATAGGGAGGGAGAAAGGGGGAGGATCTGGGGAGGATCTGGGGAGGCATGCTTAGTTTGCTCTGCCCTCTGGCCTTCATTAGTATGTAAATCCCTAGAGCCAGAGGCCTCTAGTCACTCTATTTGTTTTTCTGTTTCTTTTGTTCTGTTTTTTTTCTTTCTTTTTAAGTCAAGACGGAAATAGGATAAGTTTCCATTATCTTTTGAAGGGACAATATACGGTTGTCTTTTAATTGCTTTGTAGAAAATTATAGGTACTCTTCTACCTGTGCACTTTGGCAGGGGCTGTAATGGCCAGCCTACATGACTGAGTTTTAAGGAGACTAGACTGCTTTTCAGGACCCTGGGTTCTTGGGGTGTGCCGAACTCCTGCCAGTTCTCAAGCAGAGTCTTGGGGTTCTAGGCAACTGCTCAACCATGACCCAGAATACCGTTACGCAGTCCCACAATTAATGTCTCAAGGGGTTGTCATCTTGGGTGAGCCTTCCTCTCGAAGATGAATTATAGATTTGATAATGATCTTGACACTAAGTGAACAAAATCAATAAGAATATTGTGACAAGAGAAACCTCCTGAGTAGAATAATTTACAATTGAAGTGCTATTGGTAAGCAGATGACTCTGCTGCTTCTAATACAGGAAGTCAGTGTTTGAGAATCAATACATAGTGCTCTGTTGTTTGCTAGCAAATGTCTCATCTTACTTCCTTGCTAACTAGAAATGAAAGAAAGAAAGAAAGAAAGAAAGAAAGAAAGAAAGAAAGAAAGAAAGAAAGAAAGAAAGAAGGGAGGGAGGGAGG